TTATTATAGAAAATATTAATAAATATTAATAGATAAATATTATAGAAAATATTTTTGAACGTATTATTATAGAAAATATTAATATAATCTTGTTTCAAACAAAAATGGTGTGGAATTATTTTATATCTAGGAATGTGTGTAATTATTATACACACGATGAGGTATACATCAAGATTTAATAATAAATAACGCATCGTTTATATATTCAATAATATTTCTTTTATTACTTCTAAAAATTATATGGCGACGGTATGGTGGGGTTCTGCATCCAAGAAGTGAGAGAGAAAATGAGCAAGGGGTGCGCATTTGCGAGAATTGCTCGGATTTAGAATCAGAAATTTATTCTATCCGCTTGTTGATTATATTTCATTATTCGCTCCCGTCCCTTCTCTCTCCTTCCTCTTATCCTTTTTCGCGAAGATGACGATAAGAAATGTATCTCCCGGAAAATGGGATAAAAAAGAAAAGAGGTCGTGGATTTTTTAAAAATCTGAAAATGTCTATCACAAGGTAGTATTGAAAATTTATAGGATGTTTTGCTTAGAGAGGATAAATCGTTCTGGGACTGTAATATCTTAGGTATGTCGTCTGTTTTACATTAAGCATTCGCAGATGAAAAATTTCAATCGTCACGGTCTCTTTTATTAATTAAATACTCGTCTATAATCTTAATAGAGTGTTTCAGTCTATGAAAAAATTAAATATATATCTCAAAAAAAAAAAAAAAAAAGAAAAAAAAAGATTGGCAGTGCTAGACTGGTTCTGTTTCGATCTTTGAATCTGGAATTATGCCGATGATGCGCGGTCGTGCTTGCGTATCATTTTATTATTAATAATTAATTGCATTAATTATTTCACGTAATACGGTTCTTTAGAAATATAATTTAACTTACAATTAAATTCCTTTACCAAAAAAAAAAAAAAATATTTTATATATAAATTCCAAGTCAGTTTTTTTCTTCAATTTTTCATCTGCATGATGTAGGCTATTTATTAAACATTTTTCTTATCTTGAATTTGGGCGACATGGATGAGAGTTAAATATCTTTAATAACGACATAAAAACATATTGTCTCTATCGTCCCATCTCTAGAATTAATCTGGAAATATAATTACTTATAAGAACAGCGTACCAGAAATTACATCCCTGCAACTTAAGAAGTTCTTCTGTCCATGTCGCTAATTACTTTAATAATTAGCCGTCTTGATAAGCATCACGTCCGCGCATCCATGTGCATCTTTCCAAATTTTACAAACTTTACCTCCATGTTAAACTCATACAGTGTATGAGCACTAACTCGTAAGTCTTTTATCCCGTCAAAACGCTTATTATTTCACTCGCCGGAGCATGTATACGTTTTTTTTTTTATTAAGACAATTTAGAATCTGTTGAAAATATCAATGATCCCGTATTGAACTGCAAGAACTCGACAGTGAGATGACCACGTGAAAAATCTTATTTTTTGCTATAAAAATTTGTTTGTCAAGTATAATATAACGAGAAAATATCGTAGTCTCGTAATTGAAGCACAGAGTTCACTATCATTATTATATAGGGTGTAACAATTAAACAATGCAAATTGTTTTAACAATAATTTTGTTGTTTTGTATTATAAACTTCAAAAATTTTTTACTTGTAATTTTAATAAAATTTTGTTCGTTCTTTGAAAGCGTCCATTATAAAGTAAGTAATTCTCACTTTATATTATTGCATTATTATAAAATATTTTTTAGAGTAACATATACTCTTGTCGAGAATTGCTTTTATTGAATGATTTGGCGGATAAAGAAAAAGTATCGGATACCTCATCTATTGCCATTACATGTCTTTTTTGTGTTACACTGCGTATATATACGGTATGCTAAAATTAAACGAAGAACACGTTGTTATGTCGCGAAGTGGTCTAATTTCAGTTCTGGCGGAAGCAGTAGCTCACTTTGCCAGTGACTATTATCAAATGTATGACATGATGAGCTCTCTGCCATGCATGGGAAACCAACTTGCTTTGTGAAATAGAACGTTTCAATATTAGCGTGATAAAATTATAGACGTCCACCTGTCGTATTTTATTCAATGAATTATTGAAATGGTTATCTCTCTTGGAGCAGAAATACGACGTTATCATATATTTTCAACGGATTCGTGTACCTATAAGACAAACACAACGTACGTAGAACACATGATCGATGCGCATGATTGATGAGTAATGATCGTAGACTTATGTACACGGATTCAACTGTTTACAATAAATAAGTCTTTAATAAATATGCCACTATATTAATATAGGTCGCTTCTACAAAAAAGGAAAAAAAAATCGCAGTGGGATTGAGGCTTTTTTTCACAGATACACCTATCTAGATTCGATGAAACTCTTAATTGGAGAAACAAGGAGTCGTGATGGCTTTTTGTTGACAATGAGTAACTGAACTCTTCGAACGGTATTCAATAATCGAACAATTTTCATAAAAATTTAAACTGTAACGAAAATCACTAATATAAATGAGCGCATTTCGTAGTGCCATTATCTGATTCTTTATCAATAAATTCCATCTGGAAAACGTTTCTTCTGGCCATATATTTTTTCGATAACATCAAAGCTGATGAAATTGAACTGGTAAAGAGTTAAAAATTACATATTTAGGAGAATTTACACAAGTGTAACGGCGAACATTTCTGTTAAATATCTGTTCCGTTAAAGATCTGTTCTAATCTATAGTTAGACATCGATTATTTGTTGATTTGTTCACGATAATATTTACAACGGTTGATTAAATCTTAATTATATGGCAAATTTTGATTACAATATAATGGAAATCGTAATTGAAACCTTCTCGTAATTTTCACGTCGGTACTGTCGAACATCGCGAAACGAGTTCTGAAAATAAAATTAGCGCGCGAGGGAAAATGTGATCGAGTATATAAAACTCGAGAAACCGGTACAATTTGCGTCGATCTGATTAATTGATCTCCTTGGTAAAATAAAAGAGAAATCTGTGTGTCACTTTGCTTCGTTATAAATACTGAGATTACATTGAACGAATTTATTTTACACAGTTCCAAATTTTATATATATATATACACGTCGCTTGTATAAGTATCGCGTTTGATTGCAAAATCGTCATAATTTGACTAATCGCTCAAAATAGAAATTTCTTCATGTAATATCTAAACGTAAATAGCTAGACTCATCTTTTGTATATAATTTATGCTAATTAAAAAATTATTTCGTTACAAAACATTGCATTAAGCGTAATCGGAAACATTCGCTTAATTTCATACGAGAAGCGTAATTTACGGGGCTATTAATTTTTATTAGATAGCTCATCTTCTTAATTAGATTCAATTTCTATTACCGTCTCGAGAACAATTGCATTTGCGTGCTCGAATTGATTGTTTATCGTCCACACATCACTTCCTTCAAGTCGCTTATTGTCTTGCGCTCCTCGTTCACTAAAATATCATTATTAATTTGTTATACTTATGCGCTAATCGCGCTAATTAGGACGTAGTTTGCAGTAATATATTATACAAGGAGCTTCCTACGTATCGATGTACGCGGCGAGACGAGAACGGTTCATAACAAATTCATAAAAAAAGAAACAATAATATTATTATCATTTTACTCAACATCTATCTGATATAAATTTAATTTTAAACAACGTTTAAATTCGATAATATTACAATTTGCAAACATTGTGCTAATTTTTTCAAATATTAATATGCATGCTTTGCTTTTAAATTTTTCATGCTCTTGATATAAATGTGACTAGTTATAGATTATACATATATTCTTCTGTGGATTCTATTTACATAATTTTTTATTCGATCGGATTTATTTTATAACCATGTAAAGTTATATGAGAGATAGTCACATTTTAAATATGCAATAAAAATACGTACCTAAATTGTCATGTTGGAAATATGCTCTGTAATTGTTAAGAATATTAAAATAAAATTAAAATTTCTTTTTTTCTTTAGAGAGAGATATATGTATATGTATACATTTGCATTCTTTTCAAAATAACTGATTCAATTGTAAAATATATTTTAAAAGCGTAGTATACAGTGTTTCTTTTCAGACTTTGTGAGCAAAATTTACTTATAAATAAATTTCGTTATTAATGTAGAGAGTCTTTAAACTTAAATTTTTGGATTTTAAAGAGAAATATTGATCTCTCGAAGAATTCATAAATAAAAAGAGGTCAGAAATTGCACATTTGCAAGCATTACGTCGATTTACCACCTTCTAATAAAAGAGTTGTAATCAAAGAGTATTTGTTTTTAAAATCGAATGAAGATTACGGAAACCATGTAAAATATATGCAATTAGCTCATTCGCTACGCTCGCGTACGAGCTCCGTGACCTGTTTTGCCGCCGAGAGGGAAGTGCTTTGAAATTATAGTTGTATCTCATGCTCGTAATCCGGCCGTTTGATACTCTCGATCTGTTGCGACCGGTAATTATCTCTTTTCGGATAATAAGCGTAAGAAATACACTTTAGCCGGCACGCTCACGGTACTGACTTTTCGCTTTTATCACTGTTAATCGAGTTTCGACACGAACCGTCTCTCTCGCCACGTAAATCTCGAGGATCGATATAGAAACGATTTCTGTGAACAAAATTCTATTATTAATCTTTAACTTTAGCAATACTAAAATGCTTTTTGTCTCATGAAATGTATTATCAATAAATATCTAGAGGCCGTTGATACTTACAAACAAATAACTTTATTATCAAATTATAGATAATTCTTTTTCAATTTTTGCGTTTTATATTTCTGTTAAAAATTTCTATTATTTTTTGTTTTGTTTTTTTAATTCTTTCTTATCATTAAAAAAAAAAATTTTGTATAACTAAAATTTCGAAAATCTCGTTTTTTAAACATATTACTAACCATGTTGTGTCTGATAAAAAAACACATAATTAAAAATATTATTAAAAATGAATTTTTTCAGCAATCAAGTTATAAAAATTTTAATCATTTTAATTTTCTAATAGAAAAAATACTTTTAATAATCCATTTAAATAAATTAGGAAATTTTATGTGCGTAAAATGTCAACTTGATTACTTTTCAAAATATTTTTAAACTTGAGACATACTTTGATTTCACCGAAACCGCAACTACATCGGTCCCCTTATATCGTGAGTATTGAAACTTCGGCACGACGTATATCATACGTCACGCGTACACTTGTCGTACATGAATGTAGAGTGAGTTGTAGTAGAGTGATTCCTATATACACATAAGTTTACAATGACATTCGCGTACAAATATCATCCTCCTACCATTCGAGAAACGAGGACGTCACATTGCCAGTTGCTCTATAGGAAACCTCGTAGTCGTTCTCGGGATTGTCTCGATCGTACTAGACTCATTGTCTTTGCCGCCCTCCTCGTCCAGTCTGGATGTCGCCTCTGTAGTCGACTCTACCATTTCAGTCATCAGCTCGCTCGTGACGGTTGAGCTCGACTCCTCGTCAACGAGCGAAGAGTTCGACAGTGAATTTGTAGAGTTTTCGGCCGACTTGTGCCAGAGCGAGGACGAGGAGGAGGGAACTGACGAGGATCGAGAAAGTTGAGGAAAAGATGTGGCACACCACGCGCTCGTGGTTTCAGGAACTTTGGTGGTTGACGGTAGATTGATCTCGCTCATCGGCGTCGATTTCGATCGACCCGGTGAACGCGAAAACGACTTTCCTTTCCTATGCGAGCTCATCGGTCTCGTGACGCGAGTTCTCAAAGACGGCGGCGGTTTCCTACGGCCAGACGACGGCGAATTCGGCCTTCTGGCGGAGGAGGGAGCGATTGACACACCAGGAGGAGACGGCGACGAGGACGATGTGGCTGTCGAAACCCGCTGCACCTCGCTGGTGGGCGCTGTTAGCGGCAAAAAGGCCCGGACCGTGGTAGACACGTACTGCTTCCGGGACAGCGGGACCCTCGTGTTCCCTCTGCTCGGCGGGCCCCTCCTCTTCGTCTTTTTCCCGTCCGTCAAATCAGGCTTTTTACTTTGACTATCGGCGACGTTGACGTTTGGCTTTTTCGCGTTTGACGTTGATGCTTTGTTCTTACCGTTGTTGAGCGTGAGATTCCCGCCGCTGCCGCCGTCGCCGTCTATCCGCGACTTCCGCTTCTTCGCCGGTACCGAAAGAGCCTGACGTCTGCAGGCCTCCTCGCTGGCCGCCCCCTCGCAGGATCGCTTAGATTCTGGGGTGGTGATGCTGCTCATCTCCGAAGACGCGTCGATGTCCGATGCGGGACTCATGGTAGATCCCTCAACGACTCGGCACTGGGGACCGGGCTGCTCGCCCGGTCTGCACCGTCGCCTCCGCTTCTTCCTCTTCTTTCGTTTACGGCATCTGAACCTGTCCCTGCCGTCCTTCTCTTGGTCCGGCAGAGTGGGACAGATGGACTGTTGCGCCACGTCACCGGCGTGCAGACGACGATGGCCGTGGCCGTGATGCCGATGGCGCACGTTGTGCTGTGCGCCCAGCATCCGCCTCTGTAGGGCCTCTACCCGATCAAACGGAGCCATCTGCGTCAACACCCGGGCGTAGGCCGACAGTCTTCCGAGGTTGTGACCTTTAGCTTGCACTCTCCTCGGCTGGCCGTGGCGATTCAGGCCGAGGTACAGCGTCTTCTTCGCCGTGGACCAGCGTACCGAGCTGTACGTATTGTAGTTGTGCTGCTCCAAGGTCTCGTTGAAGACGCAGTCCTCTGTGTACTCGTGCTGAAACAGAAAACGAAATAGTATCTTTATAAATAGCGAGTTTTATTACGTTGAAAGATTCTTAGTGCGAGATGGAAATGTTTGACAAAGTCATATATCTCATAAAATTTTTTTATATTTTATGACTCTTATCTGATTTTTATATTTTATGACTCTTATCTGATTTGAAAAAATTTATCGCCTCATAAAACTGTTTGGCTTTATTTCTAACATAATTTAAGAGTTATTATATGATTATTTTAATGGATTATGTCTTCTGCGAATTTATTCCTATTTTCTAGTCTAGCATGATATGTTCACATCAAAATGTAGATTTCTCGTGAAATGTAGAAATTTTTTCGAGATAAGCAAATATACAAAGCAAATTTGGTATTATTAATATGCTTGGGGGAAATAAATTTTAAAGCTAAACATATAAATTCGTTTATATATATAAACTCAATTAAACACTTTATTTTAAGAGAGAAATTAAATTAAGAATTATAATATTATGTTAGATATTACATAAATAAGTAAGTTTATGCTTTTTAATAATTTTAATAGTTCTAAAAAATATTAATTAAAATTGGTGATACTGGGGAAATATGTAATTTATTTTGAAAAAGGGATTATTTAAAAAATTAATTTAAAATTTGTATTTTATTTTACAAGTGCACATTTTCACGAAAAAAACATTTACAATTTTATTTATAAATATTATTAATTACATAAAAAAAAAATAAGACATAAATACAATATTTTAAATAGATATATCTCTAAAAATATTATTCTTATTTATATGCACTTTTTTTAGTCATAGACTCAATTAAGCTCTCGCATAGGGTGCTGTGTATATCGTGATGTAGACTCTCGGTACTTTGTTTCCATTCGGTATGGGCAATAATAGACGATGCACACGTGTGCAAAACGAGGTTAACATATTATATGTTAGATATTACATAAATAAGTAAGTTTATGCTTTTTAATAATTTTAATAGTTCTAAAAAATATTAATTAAAATTGGTGATACTGGGGAAATATGTAATTTATTTTGAAAAAGGGATTATTTAAAAAATTAATTTAAAATTTGTATTTTATTTTACAAGTGCACATTTTCACGAAAAAAACATTTACAATTTTATTTATAAATATTATTAATTACATAAAAAAAAAATAAGACATAAATACAATATTTTAAATAGATATATCTCTAAAAATATTATTCTTATTTATATGCACTTTTTTTAGTCATAGACTCAATTAAGCTCTCGCATAGGGTGCTGTGTATATCGTGATGTAGACTCTCGGTACTTTGTTTCCATTCGGTATGGGCAATAATAGACGATGCACACGTGTGCAAAACGAGGTTAACGCCAGTTAAAGCGCTAATTTTCTAGCAGAACATTAAGGATAATGCGAAACCGACCGACAGACTAATGGTACATAAGGTAGGCGTTACATTTTCGCTGGCTAGTTTCATGATTTTGCTGCTTGTTTTATGGTGACTCGCAGATGAACGGAAACGGCAGTATTCTTGACAGAATATTATATTGTTTTTCGGTTTAATTACGCAAAGATGAGCCATCTTCTTCATTCTGTTACAATGATACGCGTGCTGCACATTCGTATATATTTTAAATAAAGAGCCGAAAACAAAAGGGTACAAATGGTTATTTAAAATTGCGAGAATACACTTAATTACTTAATTAATTTTTTTAAATAAATATATTCGCATAATTAATTAACCGATTAAACGTTTTTAAAAATTTTGTGGTTTTCGATCTAATTACGAGAATGGAGGATACGCCTTTGCGATTAAAACCAGTTACATAATTTCTCCTAACAAATATCTTCCTCTGTCGCATGAGCAGACTGGTCTATACGCAACGTGTGTGCATAAATATGCGCTCGAATACTATGTCAGGCGGTTCATGCGGGGCCAAAGTCAATTTGTTTCTTATCTCATATTTAACAGATTAGTAATGTTTTATTTTTGGTATGCCGTAAAGATCAATGTAAACGCGATATATTGAAAATCGGTGAATATTACAAGATAGTCAATGATATATTATAAACAAAATTTGGGGAATTAATTTACCTTCTTAATGATAAGTTAATAAGTGAAAAAGAAACGTTATAAACATTCATAAAATTCTTTTTAAAATGTAAGAAACTTTAAAGTTATTTAAGGAAGAGAGTCAGAATTTCTATTTTAAAATTTTTTTTCAAAAATTTTTTATTGACGTTTCTTAAATTTTGAAATCTTCTGAATAAACTTCTTATAGTTTAAACAGCAACTCCTTTAAAGGTGATTGCAAGTTTGGTAGATTATTTTGGCTATAATGACTCGAGTAATTTTGGCAGCTGTTTTAACGATAGCGGAAGTACAGTGCAAGATGCCAAGAATAATATACTCTGCTGTAATATATGCAAAAATGTAGGTAAAGTTTTGGGAAGGATGTCAAAATGTCATTTAATAATTATAAAGTTATAAATTATTAAGTTATAAATTGAATTTATAGAATTTGCGAGAGAAAAAGTAAAACTTCTTTGCAATTGAATAACTAATTTTTTTTAGAAAATATAATTTAAAAAATTCTATAAAAAAAAAATAGATTTGAGAAACTGCACAAAACTAATTAAATTACACATTTTCTATTAGTTTTGCTATACAGGATGTCTTGGCGTTATCGGTATTTGATACACGGATCATTAAATATCTGTTACCAGGTTATCAATTATTCGCTTAGCAAAGGAAAATAGCATAGCGACGATGGCCGGTCAATGAGATGCAGAAGACAAAAATAAAGAAATATATAATCAATCGCGTATCCTTTCCGATTCCTCAAGGCTATTACTATTGATTGGAAAATATTATCTTCATTATATTTTCACATATATCTATTAGAATGCATTTGTATGTGATCAATGCTTTCTTTAGACGCGCAATTTTTGAGTCTAACCAATTTTTGACTCAACTATGATGTAATAAAAACATAATGAATGTCTTTATATAAATGATATTATTTGAATTATTTGAAAAAAAAAATATTCTCTTGGAATATTTTCCATTTTTAATATTTATATTGAACTTTATATTATTCATTATTGTCACATGTTATTATCGATTATGCTTGCAAATTAGATACGAATCCATCTATTTTTCTATTAATACGTTTTAGCGTCGCGCCCTTTTCTTTCTACCATCATTATAGTTAAATCGCTTCTTACGCAGTGCAAATTATTAACGCTATTATCACAAGCAGGCACCAGTTTTTTTGCGTCGCTTAATTGATCGCTTGGCTCGTTTGTAAAGTATACGATGCGGATAGGTTACATTTCGTCGATGATTGGTAAATTAACCACATTCTCGCGCGAAAATAATTTAGCTGCTAATGATTGCGAACAATGTGGCTTTTTCCGCGGTAAAATTAAGATAAATCGTTCATACTTGTATCACGCTCACTTGTTGAAGAATCTGCCCGAATACCTGACTACCATTTCCTACTGGAACATTTTCGTGGTTCTATTTTAGTCTTTTAGAACAAGAAACTGCTTCCGTGCACTTCTGCACGCATCTGTGACTCTAATGATTGAAGTTTTGCTTGTCACGAGGAAGGAGAGTCGGTCAGCTGTTAGCACACTGACTGAAACTCGAGATTCAAGTCTCACATTATAAACAGCATTATATTATTGACTTTCTCTCAATTATTATTTTCTCATAATGTTCGGACATTAATGATACCTATCTTGTACATGAATGATAATATGTTTGATTGAGTTAATCACTATGAGAGTGAATAAACCAAATTACATAAACGTAAATTGTACAACATTCATAACTTTTATAATGCAAACTTCATAAATGTATTTGTGAGCAAGAAATAAAATTTATTTAATATGTGTAATTATTTTACATTAAACTTTTAGATTTTTACTTTGGCCTTAACTTAAACAAATATATTTAATTAGTTCATAATTTAAAAAAAAATATGTTTTACTAGCAATTTTATAGCATCAAAAATAAATATTTTATTTACATAAATTTTGATTTAAGATATATAAAAATTATTTTGTTTTGTATTTTAATACAACGACATTCTTCAAAAGATGTAATTTGAAAGCGCACGCAGCAGATGCTTTGTGTTCCATTCCGTGCAATTAACGAGGTGCAATCGAGTTGACGATAATAATTAGGGTCGTGTCATGATAACGAATTGCGGATAATTCTTTATCGCGTAATTACGCAGCTGAAAATCATTGGGTGTGCGTGCATATTTGCACGTACACGTAGAACCAGTTATTAGAAGAGCCTTAAAAGTATTGCCGATCATCTTTTACATTGTTTGATAATGGGACGCCATTATCAGTACTTAGAGAAAATTTGTAAAAAAAAGCAAGACTAATATACTATATTAAATTATTAATCGTAATAATTAAATAAAAATTATATCCATGCGTGCAAATAATTAGCTTTTAATAGCAAAAAGAAATATGCTGGTAATATATATTCAATATTTTGCTTTTTTAATAATTTTTATTATATGTAAAACTTTTTTATATTAACATCAAGAGCAGATTAAACAAGTTTTTAAAATTTTTGAATTAATCTAATTCTATATTTGTGATAAAATCGACATGATTAAATTCTAAAATGTTTTATGCTAATTTTTTTGTAGAAATAATAAATATCTCTTCACATTTTTTTCTTTAATCGAAATGATCATAGATAATTGAAGGATATAAGGATATTGCGTATATGGGTTTTGAATCGGTTTTGGTAAAGGAACCGCTGGGATAAAATTTATTTCTGTCCTATAATCGCGTCACGGTAATTTGTTATATATCGATAAAAGAAACGCGTTGCGTCTAATCCAATTAGCAAATTAATTGCGTTATTAGATACTGATTCAAGGAGGCTACAGACATCGCGCGTCAATAATCATAAATCATGGGATTAAATCTTTCGTTTCGATTATACGTGTAGTAGCCACACACATACTTGCGATATTGCCGGATTT